AGAAGGCCATGTAATCGTGGAAAGCCCGCAGTCGCAATTTATCCGAGCCACTGCCCTTCAAATTTCGAGCATAGACCTCAAGAGCTGAACAGCTTACCTCGCTTTCTCCACCTTTCCAGCGCCGTTGATGACATCTATATCCTTCATCAAAACTTTCGTGTACCATTCTCGCTGCATTTTCGAGAGACCAACATAGATCTAAAGAAGGTAATGCACATTTTAGAAAAAAAAGTTATGAGCAAAAAACAATAAATTCATAGGAAAAAAACTATAATTCGGGAAAGCGTATGGGGAAATGAAATGACCATTAATTCTTACCTTGACTTCTTTCTTTGGCAACAAGGACTTCTCCACATCAGACTTGATACGACGAAGAAGGAATGGTTGGAGCACCTAAAATATGTCCATAGTAGTCTAAATCCTTCCTTTGAACATTACACTTACCTTGTGAAGCCTGGATATAATGTCAATATTTCCCAACATACTACCATCAGTGAACCACGAATCAAAGTCCACAGAAGAGGAGAACATGTCGGGGAGCAGGAAGTTCAGCAAAGCCCAAAGCTCGTGAAGATTGTTTTGAAGCGGTGTACCAGTAATGAGAAGACGATTCTTCGATTTGATCTCACGGACTACCTCGGATAGCTGAAAAAAGGCAAAAAAACGATATTCGTAAAAAGAAGTGACTTATGTTTAGAGCAACATACCTTTGACTTCTCATTCTTAATCCTATGAGCTTCATCAATGATGATGTATTTCCATACAAGTTTTTTGAGCTGCGTCTTGACTTTCAACACCATTTCGTAAGTAGTACAGCAAACATCGAACTTTTGTGGCAGAATGACGTCGCGGATTACTTGATTCTAAAGAGAGAAAAAAGTTGAGAAACTGATAATTTTTGCAAACCAAATTTTCTTACCCTTTCGTGCTCATCACCAATGATGCAACAGGTGACCATGCTTGGGCACCACTTTTCAAACTCGTTCATCCAGTTCTTCAGGGTTGACTTGGGAACAATGACTAGATGAGGGCTGCCCATGTTCTTGTAATGTTTCATGTATCCAAGAAGAG